TATATATACACAGTATATATACACACACACACACACACACACACACACGTCTACACATTGACATGCTCTGATAACCTACATGGGTCAAAACATATCAGGCAGAGGGGTAGAGAAGGTACCTGAACATGTGGAAGCATGCTGAGATGGTAAGATTACTGCCATCAGCTGACTCGTGCTCTGTGCCCTCCAGTATTACTTTAGAATCTTCTAATAGACAAATATAAAAACCTAGAAAACCTAAAATAGCCAGAGAGAGAACGTCTGTCCCAGCAATCCCAGCCTGTGGCAGTGCGAGTTCTACAGTGCGAGTGAGGGAACGTATTGAAAGAGTATGACTGGTAGAAATAAAATCAAAGGGGCGCGGGAGAGACGAGTGGAGGTAGCAGAGAACAGTGCATGCTCTGTCTCACCATGCAGGGAGTGGTCGGGCCGGCTGCAGTCAGTGGGAAAAACCGTTACCACAGCCAAGTCTGGATTTTATGCGTAAACCAATTCAAACTATAAACAGAAATATTAAAAATAACCCGGGAATCAGAAAATAAATGTAAGACTTTAATCAGACTAAACCAATAAAATACACAGATGCACAGTTGTACTCACATATTAGAGGGACATTGTCATTTTTGTCTTTCAGCCTTCATTTTAATAAACTGTTCATATGAACATCTAACACGTTTTGAAAAAGAATCTGTATTTCTATTCTAGCTATTTTTGGAGGCAGCCATATACATCTGGAAAAAAAAAAAAAAGAAGTATTGTTCCTATCTGGACCACTGCTGGAGAAAATGATCTCTTTTTGACAAAACCTTACCCATGGGGACACAGACAGCAAAATCATTTTATTTGTTGTCAGCATTAGATGTTTTTCAGGCTTCTTTACTTTATTTTCACCTGGTGATTCTGCCAGTAACACACTTCCTGTCCTAGGGTGACAACGCTCACCATCATACAGTATCAATTAGGGATGCACCGATACCAGTATTTCGGTATCGAGTACCGATATTTTTTTTCCGATACTCACCGATAACGAGTACCAATGCCGTGTGCTCAGATTATCAGGAAGTCAGGTGGCACATCATGACCCGTCGCCCGTCTTCCCGATTGCCTGTGAAGCTGGTGTTCTATTGAAAGAACACCGCCTTCACTTGCCGAGGCTGCCTAGCTTTATGACCAATCAGGAAGCCGGGACGTGAGTCATGACGTGCTGCCCGGCTTCCTGATTGGTTATGAAGCCAGGCTGCTTACCAACAAGTGAAGCTGGCTTCCTAGCCAATCAGGAAGTCGGGCGGCACGCCATGACCCGTCTCTCGGCTTCCTGATTGGCTAGGAAGCCAACTTCACTTGCTCCTAGGCAGCCTGGCTTCCTTACTATCAGGAAGGAGAGTCATGACGTGCTGCCCGGCTTCCTGATTGGTTAGGAAGCCAGGCTGCCTAGCAACAAGTGAAGCCGGCTTCCTAGGCAACCAGGAGGTCGGCTCCATGCTCCCTAGGCACTTGCAGTCAGAGGGAGATCTCCCTCTGACCTAAAGTTCTGGTTTCAGAAGCAAGTATCGGAGCATTTGGGCGAGTACGAATACTCGCCCAAATACTCAGTAACGGTATTGGTTAATCCCTAGCATCTATGAAGAAACCGCGTTGTCACCCTAAGACAAGACTACAGAACACCCCCTCCCCTCTTCTCCTTAACAGAGGAAAGGGGCTCTATAGTCTTCAGGGATAGTTAGGAATTATGTACCCAATACACATGCTGAAAGCACAGGATGTTATTAGTTGACAATGATTCAGCAGGATTTCTGGCACTTACCAAACCGCTATAACAAAACATTTTCAATGTTATATTTAACAGTCAAATGGACCAAATAAGTTAACTCCACTATTAGGGTTAACATACCCTTTAAGCTGTACAGAAGGTAAAAGATGCACACACTATATGGGCAAACATTTTTGGACCCGTGACTATCACACTTATACCAGCCTGATGGACATTCCATTCCAAAACCAAGGGTATTACTATTGAGTTGACCTGCCTTTTGTGGCTATAACAGTCTCTGCCCTAGGAAGGCTTTCCACAAGATTTTGGATTGGGAATAGGAATTTGTGTCCATTCAGCCAAAGTGCTAGTGTGAGCTTAGGTACTAATGTTGGAGAATTGGCATTCCAGTTCTCATCAAAGTGTTCAGCACGTCAGGACTCTGCCCTTGCCACATGAGTTTCCACTCACTAGAAAGGTCAAACCATGTCTTTATGGAGCTACCATTGTGTACAGGGGCACAGTCACGCCTGAACAGAAGCAGGCCTTCCCCAATTTGTTGCCACATGGCTGAAGTGCACAACGGTCTAAAAAGTCTTTGTATGTTGTATCAGTACCCTTTATCGGAAACGCCTGAACTCGGTAATTTGGAGGGGTATCCACAAACCTTCAGCCATACAGGTAGGTGTGATGGTCAGGTGTTCTCAAACATTCGACCATATTGTTTACGTCATTATTTAGTTGCTTTTTAGTGTAAATGTGACAGAACTAATCCATGGACCTTTTAGTGTGTGAAAACAGGCTTGAAGTGTGACAGAAGCAAAGACGGGGTACTGAGTGTGATGGCTCAGCAGACCATGTTATCACATGTCTGGATCTCTATGACAAATATACTATTGAGTAGAGATTATTAAAATGCAGACAGAGGTTACACACAAACAAATGCAATTATGTATTACAAATATAATTAAATATATTTTAAATGAAACTAGTGTAAGTACCTGAAATTTACATATACAGTACACACACACAGTGTGTTTGTGTATAAATATATATATATATTATATATACATATATATATAGATCTATATATATAAAATGTTACATATATACTTATAATATAGTGTATTTATGTGTTTGCCAATGTTCAGATTTAAATGCTTCCGACCTGCTGACAAAATAATAGAACTGAATAGACATTTATAGATACCTCCCCTAATAACCCATCACTCTCAGCCCAGCTGAGTGCATCTGTCTGTCCGGTATGTTACCTGAGAGGGAGTTTTGTGGTCCTCAGCTAAAGAGGTAACTTGTTTAGCAGGCTCTGCTTCTTCCACCTGCTGAGGTTCATCTTCTTCGACATCTTGTGTGTCAGTAGGAGACTCTTCCTCTACCGCCCCCATCACTTCCTGCAGCTCAGCCTACAACCACAGAAGTTGACAATATATATATATGTGTACATATAAGCCATTTACTGCTAACTAAAACAGAAAGTCAAACTCACCAGCAAATCGTCCTCATCCTCCAGAACGTCGGCCTCCTCTTCCTCGGCGTCCAGGTCTCTCATACATTCCTGCGCCATCTTCTCTATATGATCCATAGGAAGGGGAGCTGTAGAGATATTTTGAGTGGAAAAGATCAGACTTTTGCTGTGACAGAACCGGTGTGAAAGTCAAGGTCCACTATAAATATTGTATTCTGTTAACTGAACGGGGTTAGAACCCGAAACAATAGTATTCAGTATATAAATTCCTTTTTTTATTTACATGTTTTAAAAAAAATATTTCTCACCACATTTACGAACCAAGCTGTCCAGCAAAAGTGACAATTACACGGATTGAGACAAACTGTAAAATACCGTGGGGTTGCTTACAACAGTCACCTTTTCTTCATATGGCTTAAAAAACAAACAAAAAACTGTTACTGTAACTGTTTCAGGCTGGGTTCACACCATTTTCTGGACCAGATGCGTTTTTGACGCAATCCATTTTTTGTTTGGGCTGTCAGTATGCTCTAAGGTCACTTGCTTGTGCTTCTGAACACTTCTTTGTTTGCGTGTGGAAAGTGGGGAGCAGACATGTATTACCTATATGCAGGCATGATGTTAGTGTTGGCTACAGCAATCCTCAGAGAACGTGCTCCCAGGAGACGTCATTTTTGGGTGCACCCGCTCCTGAGGCTAAGGGAATCAAAGGGTCAGTTTTGGACTCTATATGCAGACCTTTGCTTTGGATCATACAGTTCAGGGTAACGCTCTACAGGTTCCACAAGATATTCTGTATCTACTTCAGCCATCATTATTCCTTTCTTGTGCAAAATCTCCTCTCCTCAACACAGAAAGTCCAATGGTGACGTTATCTGGTAATCTGGATGTGGTGTGAATGGGCCCTAAAAGGCATTAGCTGGAGCTTGGATTTCATTTGTTTCTCTCTTACATAAACTCCCTCTTAAGATGGCCTTACATGGAGGGCGTTTCAGCCAGTTCTTGATGAACTGGCCGAAATTTATTCTTTGGGTGGCCCTGTCGGCAGTCTCCCACCTGAAATCCTGCAATCAGAAAATCAAAGGAGGTGCGTGAAATTGTTGGCCGACAAGGGACGGCTGTAAATCAGCTGCAGTCACTGTTCATTTATCTAACAACGGTGGGTGCCGGCTATCAGAATACAATAGCTGCAGAGGGAGATGTGACCATCCATGCTATTTAGCGTGGCTGGAGGAATCTGTGAGGTATTTTGTGGTCACAGACTTAACAAAATAAATGTACTTGTGTATGGCCAGCATAAGACTTCCCTGAAAACGGGGTGACAATGCTGCTGTGTGATTTCACTGCAGAACAAACAGCATTGTCACTCTGTTAAAGGACGTAAACATCAAAGGAACTGGCAGGATCAGGTAATAAAACTATGTTATTGGGGGGAGTTAGAAAAAAAAAAATAGGATTTTTGTACTCACCGTAAAATCCTTTTCTCTCTGTTCATTGAAGGACACAGGGAACAGATCTAGGATCATGTACTGTAGGGTAATATCGCCACCTGCAGGAGAAGGACGCTAGGCACAAAACTAAAGACCAATTACAGCCTTGGGGCGGCCCCTGCTGGTGGCCAAACCCCCCACCTGCTGACAAGTCTCCAGTAAGTAACAAGCAGTTAGGAGTCCTTCAATGAACGGAGAGAAAAGGATTTTACGGTGAGTACAAAAATATTATTTTCTCTTCCGTTCATTGAAGGACACAGGGAACAGATCTAGGATCATGTACTGTAGGGACGTCACAAAGCAGTACCTGAAGAGGGGTGGGCAGAAAAAAACCAAATAAACTCAACAGAAAACAATCCCCTCAAACGGCCGCCTGCAATATCATGCGCCCCAAACCAGCATCTACCGATGCCAAAGCATCCACCTTATAAAACTTGGCAAAGGTGTGAACAGAAGACCAAGTAGCGGCCTTACAAACTCGAGAAACCGAGGCACCAGGACGGAAGGCCCAAGATGCCTCAACAGCCCTTGTAGAATGGGCCTTAACAGAAAAAGGCAAAACGCCCCCTTAAAGGCATACGCCTGAGAAAACGCGTTGCGAATCCAGCGAGAGATGGCGGCCGAGGAAGCAACCCGACACTCCGAGGACCATCCGCAACAACATAACGGAATCCGACTCGCGGAAGGAAGCTATAGCACCTAATTAAACCCGGAGAGTGCGAACCACATCTATCCTTCCTACGAACGGGCTTCGGACACCAGGACGGTAAAAACAATGTCCACATTGAGATGGAAGATCAAAAACCCCCTCAGGCAGGAAGGACGGTCGAGGTCGTAGGATCACCTTGTCCCGATGCAAGACCAGCAACAGTGAAGTGCAAGACAGAGTCGCTAACCCCAAAACCCTGCGAACGGAGGTGATCGCAACCAAAAAGGCAACCCTTTGAGACAAGGGCAGATCTAGAAAGGAGATTCCCGGAAAAACTAAAGAACCAGGTTCAGATCCCAAGGCGGTAACGGGGATCGGACAGGAGCAATTTGGCACCACAACCAAACAGAACGGCAGGCAGCCCCTGAAGTCCTCCCGCACAGTCCCTGCCCCACATACATACCACCATGCTGGGGAACGCGCACCGTCCTCGCACCACAGCCACCTCCAGCACCCGAGACGTCGGGCCGAATCCACGCGGAGCAAAGAGGTAAGGACGAGTAGGGACAGCGGGTAGAACGCACCCGACCGCAGTCGCGGCGTCGCCAGCCTGTACGGAGTGCTGTGACTGGTCGGGCGAGCCCCCCGGTCATATGCATTCCATTGGGACAAGCCCACAGGCCAATCCGTCGAGACAGAGTTGTCGCAGCCGACCCACCGTAGCAGAGTCTGCATGCGCTCGCCGGCCGCCCAGGGGAGACTACAAGGATCTACCACATCCAGCTTGTCGCCCTGGCAGCACTTGCTAGAAGAATCAGTGAAAAAACAGGAAGAAAGTCAGGTAAGAATACCCGAGAAAAAATTCTTAGCTCCTTACTCCTGACGCTAGGCAAAAAACTGGAGACTTGTCAGCAGGTGGGGGGTTTGGCCACCAGCAGGGGCCGCCCCTAGGCTGTAATTGGTCTTTAGTTTTGTGCCTAGCGTCCTTCTCCTGCAGTTGGCGATATTACCCTACAGTACATGATCCTAGATCTGTTCCCTGTGTCCTTCAATGAACGGAAGAGAAAACTGCTGTGCCAACTCTAGTGACCGACAGCATCATATACAGTATGTCTTTTGGTATTTTGTGAAGCTCTAGCTGTTCTCACCTTTTCCTTTAGGCTTTGCCTTGGGTGTCACTTTCCCACCCATAAGGGCGGCTAGCTCTGCCTCTAGGTCTCCATCATCTGGGATTCCCCTCATCATATCCTCCGGATTGAAGTCTACAAACAGGCCAAGCTAAACACAGGAACAAAGACAAGAGGAAACATGGTCATCAGTCCAATGCCAACAAATCCAAAAACAATTTAAGGAGACGGCTGTTCGGCCATTTCGATGCTGATAGGCCGGGAAGCCATCTTCCCGGCCAATCAGCATTGAGCCAGCTTCCCAGCCAATCAGGAAGCCGGGAGGCGGGTCATTACTCGCCGCCCAGCTTCCTGATCGCACAGGAAGCTGGCTCCATGTTTCCCTACGGCACTGACCGGAAGTTCCGATATCGGGGAAGGTATCGGAGCATTTGGGAGAGTACTCAAATACTTGGTATCGGCACCAATACTAGTATCAGTACTGACTACTATGGTTAGCAATCTCCCTTCAGATGTGTCAGACAAGCATCATATGGGCCCTCTTACCTCTTTGGCGGCAGCTACTCCTTTGCCCTTGGCTGGGGCATTTTTTCTGCCAGGCTTTCTGCCCAGCATTGTGGCTCATGGAAGCTCTGCCCCCAGGCAGGGTGTCGGCGACGTCTGAAGTCAAGCGTCCTGTAAAAAGAGAACAGGTCATTCCAAAGAGTTTAAGCAAAAAGAAGTAAACAGATAAGAAAGCTGTAAATGTAGGTTCCCATGGGCACAGCACCATGGAATAAGAGAAGAGTGTTTTATTATACTGTTCTTATAATGGCAGGTTTATGTACTTTGCTGTTTTCTGCTCATCTGTACCTCAGTTCACACAAGCTGAAACATATTTCCTGAAGAAAGAGCTCAGTGAGAATGTTATTCACGCAGGAAATGAACATGCCGCATTTTTCCGCAGCGAGCTGGATACCACCGCATGCAAATAGACATGAAAGTCACCGGCACTCCACCTGTTCCATAACTTCCACTTTTATTGATGCAAGCCTATCATCACAACGTAAATGATATTTCAGGGCCATATATGGTCCCTTCATCAGGCAAACAATGTGACCGGGTAGCAACGCAGGTCACCGCACAGAAGAACACTGAGGAAGTGAGGGTGGGTGGGGCTTTTAACACCTTCCTACCGGTGTAATGCACATATGCGTCAGCGCAGTGGGTGGGACTAAAAGCCAGCTGCTCACTAGCGCACTCCCAAAAAAGTGATATAACTGTCATTGTATATAATCTGGACCCAGCTGTATGGACTCCTGAGCATGTGACCATTATGACATCCAATCTCAGTGAGCTCATGATCGGGAAGGCCACCTCTGACTTATTACTGGTGTTAAGAGCCCCTTAAAGGGCCACTGAGAATCGGTGGCAAGGGGTTAATCTTCTCTGTGTGTGTTCTGTGCCCATCAGGTCAGACGTGCAGTCTCTCCGTTGGCTGCCATGGTGGAAGAAGTGGAAAAAGTCATACTAACATGGTGCAATGACTGCTTACCTACATCTACATGTGCGTCAGCAGAAGTGTCCCCATGCACACCATACAGCACATAGGCCCTTTAATGCTATAAAATAGCAATGGTGCTCACAGTGATGTCCACGGATGGTGCTGTGCAATTCCAGAGATGATGATAAAGATCAGCAGCACTCACAAATGGAAGAAATCTAGAAGTTCTCTTTATTGTAGAATAACGTCACATGTATCCAATAGCCAACGTTTTGGGACCGCTCAGGGTCCCTTCATCAGGGCAAGCATAATGAACATCGGCTTAGTCACTATGCTTGCCCTGATGAAGGGACCCTGCGCAATCCCGAAACGTTGGCTATTGGATACATGTGACATTATTCTACAATAAAGAGAACTTCTGGATTTCTTCCATTTGTGAGTGCTGCTGATCTTTATCATCACCTTTACCTCTACATGTGGATGACATTAAGTAAAACATCTGCATGACTGAAGTAGAATTATACGTAATAATATAAAGTTTTATTTCTATTGTTCACAAACACGTGACAGAGACACGGCAGGAGAGATGAAAGTAGGTCACACAGACATTTAATCCAGTGAAACTCATACAGGAAGAGGACACAGATACAAAAGCAGGAGGCAGGAGCTGAATCATGAAAGAATGAGGAAATGAAACTGGAAGGAAAAAACATAAAGCGCTTCTCCCAGCTGCATACAAGAACAAATGATTAGCCTGGTTGGTTGCTCCGAGCCATTGCTCTATACTTGCTGCAGTACTGATAAATCAGGCCAATGGTTGGAAAAGATGGATGATATGTATGTTATGACGGTACCAAGGGTGAACAGACATGCATGCACAATCCCGAATGCACCAAACAAACATGACAGCTCAGCTAGCCATCATCTATGTAACGGAGAACATGGGTGGCGATAAATGCTTACAGGAAACCTGGTTAACCATAGAGGTTGCATGGCTGGCAATGACTAGAACCTGGTGGTCACACTGACCCTCCAGCTCCAACACTAAGGAGTCTATTTATTTAAAAAAAATAGATGACATAGCTATTCAACCAGCGAAATCCATTTACATGAGTTTGGTGCCAATTACCTAGCTGTTGTGAGAATGGGGAAGAATCGGATGTTTAAAGGAGAGCTATGAGGTGAGTGATTTCCACTCACCTCATAGTTCTAGCCGACCTGTGACAATGAGACTGTCACAGATCGGCTCAGTAGATCGGGAGGTGAGCGAACATATACCGGCATTCGCTCACCTCTCGATCCTGTCACAGCTCTCTGCCGTGACAGCGGAGGGGCTGGATTCCCCTCTCCGATCTGCCAGCGCTGACTGACGGAACGGACGGGGGAGGGGGCGGGTACAGCTGGCTCTGCCTCTAGATAGGGTGTATGTTTATTTGTGTATGTATATGTCATATTGGGCCCTCACTTACTATGTTTGTGACGTGGGGGTAAAAAGGAATAGGAAACATATGTGTAGATTGTGCAGCTGCATGAGGTCCCCCTGGAATTTAAAGAAGAACTATGAGGCGAGTGCTTTTCACTCACCTCATAGTTCTAGCCGACCTGTGACAATGAGACTGTCACAGGTCGGCTCAGTAGATCGGGAGGTGAGCGAACATATACCGGCGTTCACTCACCTCTCGATCCTGTCACAGCTCTCTGCCGTGACAGGGGGAGGGGCTGGATTCCCCTCTCCGATCTGCCAGCGCTGACTGACGGAACGGACGGGCGAGGGGGCGGGTACAGCTGGCTCTGCCTCTAGATAGGCAGAGCCAGCTGTCACTCACGCAGCTGGGCGGATCTCGACGTCCATGTTTAGATCCGCTCCGGCTGCTCAGTATACCGCAAGCTATAGCTCGCGGTATACTGAGCTTAGGGTAACGGGAGGACGCTAGTTTGTGTCCTCCCGTTACCCTAAGGAGAACTATGGGGAAAAACACTGACCCCATAGTTCTCCTTTAAGCTAGGTTCACACCTGGGCGATCCGAGCCGCGATCATGTTCAATTGCATGGGCGGAATCGTGGCGGGAAACCGCATGATCCGCCCGGGGCGACTGGGGTGCCATTAGAAAATAAGCAATTGGCTGTGGTGGGAGACTATGTGATCGCCCGGCAATCCGTGCGGTTTTAATCAGAGAGTCGCCCCCCACCACAGCCGATCGCGATGGCGGTGCCATTATTTTCTAATGACACCCCAGTTGTGCTGGGCGGATCGCGCAGTTTCCCGTCGCGATTCAGCTTGTGCAATTGAACACAATCGCGGCTAAAAAAAGCTGCACATCATGTGTCTCAATAGAAGGTACCTGTACCTTTTTTTTAGCGATTGCCGCGAGCCTGTAACCCCATTCAAAGCTATAGCGCCGCGTGGAAATCCCTGTGTACACCCGCACACGATCGCACATTCCCCGGGCTCGCGTCTCAGGGTCACTCAGATCTGAACCTAGCCTTAAGTGCCCAAGTCGCTGTCCAATGATTTTCAATGGAGCTGTTCTATTCTACAGCTCCATGTTGCCTGTCGTGCGTCGCTTGTGCAGGACCCTTTTTCCCGTGGATGTCGCGCGATTTTTCTATGTTTGAACCTAAATAGGGACAAAAAAACCCATTAGGGCCTGTTCACACTGGGCCTGTGTGTTAATTTCACGGTTCCGCACAATGCACCTGCCATGCGTTAACAGTGTGCGAGGTGCGTTGCAATTGCATTGCAGACAGGAGGTGCAATGAATAGCAATGCAACGCCCCCGCATTCTTAACGCATGGTAGGTTTGTTACGCGGTACCGTGCTTTAATCAGAGCAGGTGTGCTGAGCAGGACTTTGCTGCATACTTGCTGAGTTCCGTGACTCATAGGTGTCTTCATAACAAATTTGCAGAGCCGTTTGCCTTACAAATCTTGATTATAAATAGACCCCAAAACTTTGTAGAGAACACTGGAGGGAATTACGTAAATGTAACCATTGCTACTATGGACATCCCTGTAGTAGCAATAGTTACATTCACCTGCTAATTTTCTCCAACATCCTCTAATCCCATAATCATTATAGAACATTCAAGCAGAAGAGAAAATAGCCTAAGGCCCCATTCACACTGAGTGACACTTACCTCGAGCGGATCCACACGGCCGGGATAGCGCGACTGTTCAGGCGACCTTCACCGTCGGGCTGCATGCAAAAATATACACATTCCTTTTTTTTTAAAGAAACATTTAATACATATGATAGGATTCTCAGAGACAGGACAGCAGTAATTGCCTGCCGGTTAGTGCTGACTGACTGAAATCCGGGAACGGGCTGGTAAGAGAGAAGTCACTGATTCAAGACATTTACTTTTGTGTGTAAATTTTAGCTTGAGCTATTGAATTCTGTAAACAGGCTTCTTACAGCAATGAAGCACACTGGAAAATCCAGGAAAACATGACAATGAGCCTAAAGAACAACCTGCTGGCTCAAAGAGAAGATACAACATAGAAATATGCTCAATTTTATAATATACAAAAAAACAATAGGTAAAGTTATGACTGTTATATGTAGGTAGGGGGTAGAATCATTAACAGCAGATGATCAGATGCTGTCTGACACTTTCCAGTGCAACTATAATAGGTAGATGTGCGGTGACCCTTGTCTAGTCTGGCTGATTACCTGGCCGATAGATCTTGTCATATTTAAAGGGAAGGGGGGTCTGCTCTGGGTAATGTTATATTTAAAAGGAAGGGGGTGTGCTCTGGGTATATGTCACATATTTAGAGGGAGGGGGGTCTGCGCTGGGTAATGTTATATTTAAAGAGAAGGGGGTGTGCTCTGGGTGTATGTCATATTTAGAGGGAGTGGTCAGCTCTGAGTATATGTTATAGTTAAAGGGGAGAGGGTCACCTCTGGGTATATGTTATGGTTAGCAGGTAGGGTTGCCACCTGTCCAGTATTCACCCGGACAGTCTGGGTTTTGAGCGCTGTGTCCAGGTTTCATGGCAGCAGAAACCCGGATACAAGATGTCAGGCAGACAGGGGCAACCAAAATTAAGATAGGGGCTACTGGCCCCCCATTGAAAATAGTCTCAACTGTGATGCACATGAATGGGCGACACTATTTACATATGAATAAGCCACGACTCCTTCTCCCCCTAAAATGTCTGAGCGTCGCTAGAGTGTTCGGGTTTCGCTTGAAGGAAAAGTGGCAACCCTATTAGCAGGGCTCTGTAATGTTTATGAGTATATGACTGTTTTTGGAGGGAGGCTCTGTTGGGTGAAAACACTAGTGGAAAGGTCAGCTGTGGAGTTGTTGGCAGGGGAGAGAGTCCACCATATGTCCAGTGGTGGGGTGTCAAAGGTTATGGGGTGACAGGTACCCGGTGGGTCAGTGCTGGGGGACACACACATGCAGGGTGACAGGAATGGGGTCCTGGGGTGGGTGCCCGGCGGCAGCCTGTCAGCAGAACTCACCTCAGTACCTGTCAGCGGAGATGACAGCACCGGCGGGTGTCAGGAGGAGCATGGGCTGCTGGGAGGAGCGATCCCGGAAGCAGAGAGCCGCTGTCACACGGCACGTGATCGCAGTCAGGGCGCATGCTCCGCCCGGGTCACGTGCTCACCTGCAGGAATGTGTCATCTAGTGTCACCTGTGTGCGGTCCCCGGCCGGGGCTGAGGAATGGAGGGAGCTGGGGGGGGAGTGCGGCTTCTTCTGACTCTCTGCACTCTTCACATCCTCTGTGTGATTGCGCAATGCTACACTGGCCAACCCGGGCTGAATGACATGTAGTCTGCTGAAGCACTGTGCAAAATAAACAATTGCCACTTGTTTCTTTTATCCTTTGTGACATAAATCACTTCCAGACTCTGCAGCCACCATATTGCACGGATCCTGCGGGACAATCGCGGCCATTGTCTCACGCTGTGTCCACAAGGTGGGCCTACAGGATCCGGGGGTGCTGGAACACTTTGGGGTTCATTTATAAAGTTCACTAGTGCCCCTAGATGGCGCTGATGAGTAGAGGGCACTAGTGTTGTGTGAACAGCTTGGCCTCCCCAGAACCTTTATAAATGAACCCCAAAGCCTTACCGAAGGCCTCATTCACACTGCCGTATAATACGCTGCGCATAGATGCGTGCAGCATTTTTTCCCACATGCAAATAAATGGCTCCATACACATAGCTGCGAATGGAGCTGTACTTTTACGCAGCGTAAAGATGCTCAAAAACAAAATGAAACCGAGATGAGTCCGGGCTCGGAATCTCTGCATATTTTATACGCGTGCGCACATATACACGTAAATATGCAAGTACACGCACAGTACATTAAAGGTTCTATTGAAAATGATGCATTCTGGGATTGCATACAATCTGCGCAAATACGCAATACAAATATGCGTACAATTGTGCTCTTTGTGTGTGAATGAGACCTAAAACTTGCGTTGATGTCAACTTGGAAGGTTTCGCCCACATATACTGTATATTAATGATGGGGCTTATTTTCCTTCTACTGGCCATGGGACTTATTTCATCCTGCAGACAATAGCGATAGGGCTCAATTAAAATAGGGCTTATCATCCCGTTGCAAGTTATTGCCGATGACCTCCTGCAGCCAGTTTGCAGTCACTTATCGACTACATGCACTCCAGTGATGGCTGCATGGTATTTTTCAAACCGAATCTCCCGATTTTGACAACAGTGGACCATGTCTGTTCAATGTGTATCAGTGTGGCCACTTGTAGTCTTCATCGAGTGATCGTGTAACAGACACACAACTTGGGAGATGTATACAGAACATTGCCACCCATAGCAGGAAATGCTTCGAACAAGGGCCTTCATGTCAGGATAACCAGGTGAAAGTTGCAGAATTTAAAGAACTCCGAGGAAAATGTTAACTTTTTTTTGCGCACCTACACAAAAAAGAGCAGTTAACCCTTGCAGTGCAGGGGTAGCCCCACTGCAAGGGATAATAACATTTTGGCCTGAAACCGTAACAAGATGGTTATGTCCTAGATACGGGTTCATGCTAAGCAGCGGCACCCATATACGGTAAATGGCTCAGAACTGACTTTTAGGCCCTGTTCACATGATTTTCAGGTCCTGATCAGGGGCGGATCTGCAGACGCGGTGCTATGTGTTTTGCCGCGTTTTTGATGCGTTCCAGTAAAAAAAATAAAAATGTTTTGCTGGAGTGGGGCTGTCAGTATGTCAGCTGCATTGCAGTGCGTTTTTGACGTGTTTTGCGTTTCCTGACCGTACAAAATGTGACATGCAGTATTTTTTCTGTCGTAACCTGAACGGACTGCGCACGTGAGAACTGTAGCCCATAAAACACATAGGGATACATTTTTAGAGCAGGAGCGTACGGATCAGGTCAGCACAGAAAACGGACGTCGTGTGAATAGGCCCTTAGGGAGAACCAACACACCAAGGCCTCTATCATTGCTCCACTTCCTATTGCTCAGTACGCAGGTCCACCTTAGCCATCCAGGGAATTGTCAGACTTCAGCTTCTCTCAGCTGATATACCTTCCCACCATTTAGCCAAGCTTATCATTGCGCAAATTAAATTTCTACATTTCCCCAATAAAGAGGAGGTTGATGATAACATTAAGGGACTCTCATGGTTGAAAGCACTTGGCCCGGGATGGTTATGCTGATGAGTAAAATCGTGTTACGAAAAAAGGAGACAGCCCCATATGTAAATTAAATGTTTCGAGGGACGTAATCAAATCCAGGAATGTTTTGCAGCTAATATAGTCTTGATATAAACACCTGGGAAGGACCGTTCGCCATTCTCAATACGGACTTCAAAATACTGACGTCGTTAATGGCAGGAAGATTGAAGTGGGTGGTCGCAGATTTGGTCTACAAGAGAGTCAGGCTTTGTGTATGGCCGGTCATTACATAAAGGACATAAAGACGGTTAATGGTGGGACTACAATTCTTCTATAATTTAGGTATACAAAAGAGGAAATGGAGGGGCAGATGGTCTTCTCGGTGTTTAGGGTTTACATCTATTTTAAGAGCCAAGAGGAGCCAGATACATTGGTGAGTTTTCTTCCTATAAGCAAATGAGTTGTCTGGCAGGTCAGAATTCCAATATACAAACACCACCTAAATAAATATACAGCCATTTACTCAGGCAAATATACACAATTTGAAAAGAAAATCACCTGTTAAAACATATACAACGCTTTATTATAAATTAAATAGCATACAACTGGGAGGTAAAACATTTTTAAAACTCTATATACAATAAACATTTGCACTATTATGTGCTTCACATATGAATTATGACCATTCTTAGAGAAGATTTAGCTATACCAATAAATGGTAAAAATGATCACTCCTCCTTGAGGGCGTACATGATGTCATCCTGGCTGATGTTGAGCCTCACTCTTAGGTGCAAGTCATTCCTGCTGGACTCTACCAGAAGGAGGCGAGAGGCTCCGAGTCTTAGACACACAGCCATGGTCTCCGACATTGTGGGGGGCTGCAGTCCTTCAATCCTGCACAGTGCGATATGATGGTGGTATACCTACGTATAAAACATTGTTTGTGAAGTTGGATTAAACAATGGTTCACAAAAAATAAAATAAAAAAAATCACATTTGAATGTCATAATACTTTATTGGCTACTGCAAAACCTGTAACTGGAATGAATTTGAAAGACCCCTATAAAAGAAAGCTTCAAAGTGGAACTCATCTCACAACCAGCGATACAACGTCCCTTGCTGGCCTATGACACCTTCCCCCAGCTTTCTTCCAGGCAAGGGATCTTGAGCCATCTTGTTTGGTCGTGCAATGGTGACGCAAACAGGCACGTTAAAAAAAACCCCAAAAACCTGCTGTTTTTTTTTTTGGGGGGGGGGGGATAATAAGTTCCTAACAGGTGCATCATTGTTCCCTGACATTTGCTGGGTGGAGTCAGGAAAGAGATGCCTCCAACTAAAAACAAAATGGCTGAAAGGGCTCAAAGAATTTTGGAGAGGAGCTTTCAAGTCACAGTAACTACAATTTATTAGATTTATGCTAGTCATGATGATCCCCGGACTTCATCATTGACCTGAAACAAGTATGATATGCGTCAGGTGTGCCTACGTGCGAAAACGACTATTGCGCCTATTGTGGCGCACATGTTAAATATTGCCGCAAATGTCGGAGTGAGAGCAATAATTTTAGAGCCATTAATCACTGATAACACTAAACTGATGAGCAGTGAAAGCATTTTAATCATCGCCTATGGGCGTTTTTTGCGATTTTGCGGCCGCACGCAATTTTAAGGCTTGACATGTTTGGTGTCTATTTACCCGACGTGACCCCAAATTTTATGTTTTACTAAAAATATGGGTAAGAATAAATGTTTTATAACATAACGTAGGGAAACTTTTTTTTTTTTCTATTACATTTATGGTACTTTTTTCATTATACAGTAAAAAAAAACAACACCCCCCAGTGGTGATTATATACCTTCAAAATATCTGTCCCGAAATGTTTTTAACATAAATTGCAAGGTTAGAATTTTAGTTTAGTTAGTTTTAGAATTTCAAGATGCAGGTTTTTTTGGAAAAGTTTAAAGCACTACTCTGGACTCACCATGCACCAAACATTGCTGGATTGGTAAATGATGAATCTGCAGGGAAAAGCGATTAAAAAGTTTAGTACCCAAAGCTGTTTTTTTAATCATTAGGCTGCACTGGGGATTGAATTCCTTCAATTTATGCCCAAGTTCAACTTGAAGAGGTATTACATACTCTGATGTTCACTCAGGACGTCCGGATTAGGACTCTTGGCAATTGTCGTCCTAAATTCACCACACACGCGTTACAATCAGACTGCAACTACTACACAGTGCAAGGGTTTGCCTGATTGGATACACATTGATTGGGTAGGTCCTCACATTACGTAGTTTTGGTAAATCTAAAGTTTATTGTACACAGATTGCACAGAGTGTAACGCGTATGATGGCCCTTCTATTTACATTTTTTTAGTTTTGGATTATGGAATGCTTAAACTCTGTATTTTTCCCTCTTGTATTCATTGGGGAGATTTCACATGCAGTCCAGGAGCCACAGAAGAGGAAATCTATCCAAGGTGATGGAAAATACCCTCAGACAGGTATCCCTGAACAAGAAAAGATCTTTTCCTGTTCTGGCGACAACTGGAAGTCTTTTTTGTTCCTTCTCTGGTGCCAAATGTATAGTTTTACCTCTCCCATTACTTTCTCTCCAGGTTGTATGGTCACCACGACAAAGATGGGAGGTAAATTTCCCTTGTAGGTACACAGTTCTAATCCTTACCGACTATATCCAAAACTAAAATAAACGTTGGGGATGTGTATACTTTAACAAATATTAATTTTAAAAATGAACATAAATCAAAACACACCTGTTGAAAAGTGGCTTCTTCTAGACCAGATCTTCTAAATTCTGAAATGACAGCTCTGAGAAAACACTGCTCCAATACAGAGGCGTTCCTAAGGAGGAAGATTTCACAAGGTAAATCATACAATATGGACAGATCTTATATGACAGTACAAACCAGGTTATTGCTAAAACTGTCAAATCTCCTGTGCTTAGTCAGATCTTCTCTGCACAATCTCCACTAAATGCAGACACCGGTAACTGAAGATCACCATTCATTTTATGGTGAATCCATACATTCTGAAAGGAACTAAGTTTCAGTTTATTCAAGCCCTGATTGGGGGGCGGGGTTGTGTGAACTCCCAAAACACATTGGCTGTTTCACCATACTGACCTTTACAAATAAACTATTATTTTGCACTCAAAAAGTGGTGTTGCCCCAGTCTGTCCTTTTTCCATTTGAATCTACCTTGGACCCCCCCCCCCCCACTCAGGCTTGGAGTGTCTTTGTTTATGTGTAGCAGCCTCTTCAAGAACATCCTGAAGAACAGATTCATTTAAAAAGTGGGCCTCCTAAAGCAGCAAGGATCTAGCGCCTCTTTTCCACCACATATTTGCACATTTCCTGTGCTGTCTCGCTGCCCTCATACTCAGCTGAAACTCAAAACTCCTGTGAAAGTTTAGACTTTCAAAACCCAAATCGTGGCTATATGCATGCTCCCCATGTGACAATGTTCAAGCACTGGCGATTTTACGCTCAGGCAAAACGCTGTATTGGGGTCGTCATGCGCCCCACATTACGTGAAGAACTTGTTTCTTTGATGAGCTTTGACAACATATACGAGCAGTGGGAGAGCATAGGCAAGTATAAATTGATAATGGTTGTTGGCATCAAGCAAACCTATTGCTTTGCCCCATCAAGGGAAATACAGATCTGCCTTAACAAAAATATAGGTGCAGCAGCTCACACACCCATCCCCATGTAATTTTTCACTGGTATGACGACGCATATCTACTGAAATCTGATTGGTGGGTATGGCTAACAGCTTTCCTCATTGTATATTATTACATGCAAGCCAGCATTTTAAAACCTTTGCCATTGGGCTACTCTGTAGATTTCTGTAAAAGGTAAATAAATATGTAGCGGTCAATAGTCTTAGATAAGGTTAAAAAGGGACTGAACACATATAAACAAAGTTTGTCCTTAAAGTGAAACTCTTGGCAGGCAGTTAAATACAAGGTTGAAATATATAACATTTTCAATTGTATTGGATTTGTAGTTCTTTGTAATTCTTTACAACGAGTCTTGTGATTTACATACACTTTCCAGTAAGATAGGAAAGACAGCGAGTCAGCTTTGTCAACCTTGTCCAGTGAGTATTAGCTGACCAAGGAAAGGGTGCTAAACCAGGAGGTAGCAGAGTGATCTTACTAACTAGCAGAAGCACATATATTGACTTCACAAGATTTTTCAGTCTCTGTATACAAGAAGACATCACCCCTTCTTTCCTGACTAGCTGGATTTTTTTTTCTCTTAACCAAGGGCAGGTAATAGCAAAAAAAAAAGAACAAAATAAATGGTTATAGCCAAAAGGGTAAAAGAGGAATAAAGGAAGGTAAAATAGATTTCAAGTGTTTCACAGCTGATCTAGCGTTTGGTAGAGAGCAGTGAAAGAAAAGAGGAAGCAATATAATGCTTCCAATAGCCCCAACAGGTATTGTTAGATAGGATAGTAAGAGGAATGGAAGGGATCACAAAGTGTTTCCACCTGCAGCCTGGAGGATTAATTTTACAATGGTAGGTACCTGACTGCAATGACATAAGGGGAAGAGAACATTTCATCCAAGGCCTGGATAACGTGTGGCATTTTCACCACGGGTGGTTCACCTTTCTTGCTAGTGAACTCACAGATCTCCGTTGACCTGCGACAGATGTCTAGACAGCGACGTGCATCACCAGACAACGCAGCAACCTGCAGATATGGAACAAGAAGCAGCAAACATGTTTACTAGGCAATAGAAAGATTTCTTGTTTCTTCGGTAAAACTAAAATGACTCTACAGCATCTTTAGGCTACATGCATCTTACAACTGCTTGTTTATGGTGTACTAAGAGGTTAAATTAAAGTACATATTAAGCCATTTTTTTTCTAGTTTTGGATAGAGTAAGGAATGGTTAAAAGGTTGATTTTTTATTTTTTTTTGCCTTGTATCCAGTTGATGGGATTTCCCCATACTTTGTGTTTTGAATACAGGACCGAAAGCAAGTGGAAGAGTATAAACAGTGAGGGGAACCCTCATGTTAGATGGCCGTCCCTGTTGGTAGATTTCCCCTCGCCTCCTATTCCAAGGGCAACTGTAAAAGTCTGAACTTCCCATCACCTTCTGTGGTGGTAACAATGGTCAACAGGGCCAATATACATGGTAAATCTCCACAGCGGGAATACAGATGACAGCGATACAAATACCTCACAAGGGATTATACATTCCCTACACCAAGGCCTGTATAAAAGCAGTGTGCACTACAAAGCCTTCAGCAAGTTTCAAGCAGCCTTGTTTAATGCAACCCGCAGCTCCAGTTTGGGGATTTTAAAACACAGATGTGAAGATGTTGCGAGTGCTAAATATACTTTAAACAAGCAGCTAGCAGGATTCAGCAAACTTTCAACAAGCATCAAGTGGTGCTGAAGCTTACTGAAGCTGCTAGCAGCTTGTTTAAAGTGTCATCCAATGCTCCCATCGAGATCTGTGTTTAACAATCCCAAACACAAGCTAAATGGGACTTTAAAAGCATCAATAATGCTTAAACAAAAGGCTCTGCAAATGCCAAATTATAAATGATTTGTATTCCCATGTATAATATACAGCACAATGTACCATCAGCTATAGAGGAATACAAATCCCAGCAATACATTATAGAGTACCATGTGTGGGAAAGTGCAGGCTTACCTGAACAGTCTTCCAGCAACTTGCTTCGGAGATTGGACCTGTGTATCAGCGGCTGTCATCCCCCACGCCTGCTCCTCCGTACTACATCTCCCCGCGTCCCTTGCCGATCGTGGATGGGCAGGAAATGTGAGGCGGGGAGGAGGTGCGGCGTGTGGAGCGTGGATGCGAGCGGGTCTGGCAGCGGCGAGCGCGAGGTGGGGAGGAGGTGCGGCGCACAGTGTGTGGAGCTGTGAACGGGGCCAACTGATCGGAAGCCGATTAATCGATTAATGAAAAAGTTGACAACTTTTTCAATAATCGATTATAATCGATTATGTCGATTAGTTGTTGCAGCCCTAGATGCTAAATCTTGAAGGATGTAACTTATGCTCTTACATACACGGTATATTTATTATAACATCACTAGATAGTATAATGTAGCATTCATCTGATTTTCTTTTAAATGCAAAGTTCATAACATGACTTGGATCCCCCCCTTAAATAAACACTAAATGTTAATAACCTTCACACACAAAACAGGAATAAATTTGCCATCAGGTCAGACCCCTATGTGATAGCAATTTTTAGAAAGTATATGTTTTGGGGGGTTTCAAGTATTCTTCAGGCCTAACACATGCATTTAATGTGTGCAAAATGTCTCTGGCAGTCAAAGGGTTAAGCTTCTACCTTTCTGGCAACAAGCTGAATGGCATCATCATCAAATGCCTTGACGTGGTTCAGACGAGAGGTGATTATCTGTTGCAGTTGTTTATGAGTGTACGGCTGGAATGACATTCTTGTGAGACCCTGTAAGCGAAGCAAATAACAGTAAATAGGCAAAATGTTAAACTATTAACACATGTTTTATATAAACAGCTCATGCTATGTTCTTTGTTGTCCCTGACATTTGGTAAAAAGAATGTGAATGTACATCAGTCTTTGTTAAATGCAGATTGACGAGGCTTGTGTCAAAGGGCTTTGGGCTTACGTTGATGGCATCAGTTTAGGATTATTCAGAATTTACTGACATTTGATCTGCCATTGTCCTCTTCAAGCAGATTTTCCACTCCCATAGATTTGTATGGGAAATCAAAACCCACATGAAGCAAACAAAAGTCAGTTGACACAGGCCATTATTTCAAGATCTAGAGTTCTCCTTCTAAAGAAGATGACAGTAAATGCCGTCCATGACTATCTGGTAGAACAGTTCAGCAGCTACTCTTACCAGCCTGCTGGCTACCCGATTCATCATTATCCTCTCTGGCAGATCCATGGTGTTTGCGATGGCCAATACAATCAGTTTTGCTTGTTTCCGAGTGGGCCAGTCAAACAAACTGTACAAAACATTCTGCTTTCTGGTCCAAAGAAGGTCCAACTGGAAAAGAAGAATAAACACATTAGTTGTCATTTATCAATTCTTTGAAGAGCTAGGCAATGATAAACAGGGGCAGTGAGGCAGAGCTAAGAAAAATGAGATAAGTTTATTATACTTGGGCAGCTTTATTCATAAATTCCTCCTCAGCTGCTCTGAAGTAGCACTGCAACAGAATGAAAGCTGACACCGACTAGTTAATTGTGCGTTTGTTTTGACCTATTTCACATTTAGGAGTATCTGTCTTCTCCAGTGGTAAATGTGTCGCAGACAGGTGCAAATTTGTCTTGGTTTGTTGCTCAGGATTACAGTCACAGGGGTCACAAATACATATAAAAACAGTTGTTTGCATTTAAATGAGTCTCCAATTGCTTGATAAATGTTTCCCGCTGATTCCTAACCTGAAGAAACCTTATGGTTCGGATTGGCTACAGATGAGCCCTTCTAGACATAGCACAACCACTCAGACTGCATTTTTAACCTCTGTGGACCAGCCACAGAAATGTTTGAACCACCAGGCCACAGAAACAAACTTTATATGGGTTTAAGAAGACCCAAGGCACTCAATGATTGCCCAAGCCAGGTATGTCTCATTTTCATCTGATGCAAGTGGTATAGTCAATGTGGATTTATCCATTTAAATGCAGCTTTTATTCTATGACAAAGATATTGTATTGGTGGTGTGCTAATCATCAAAGGCTGCACCCATATGAAGAATTTATTCCTGCTATCCAGAACAGAGAATCACATTAACAGGCCACCACTGGCACAAAGGCTAAATGTAGCACGTTTCTATTAGCATGCATTGCCATTACCTCGTCTACCAGCAATACAGTGGTCTCCCTTTTGGAGGCAGGCGTGCTGAATCTCTTCTCCAGTAGAGCAGCAGCATGGTCTGCAGTTGCTTTCTGGCCAGTCAAGAGCTGAATGGAATATAGATAACATGAATATCACATACACAGAGCAATACTAACGGACAACTGCTTGCTAATTTTTTTTTTTTTTTAACACAGTTGGCTATGTAGCTTGGGCCTTTGCAGTGGCAGAATTCTCTCACCTTCAGGATTTGCACATAAGCCTGATGAGGATCTGTCAACTTCATGCCATTGATCTCAATGTACTGGAAAGATGGCAGCTCATCTTCATCTGCAGCCTGCTGCAGATTCCGGATCACCTCATGCACTGTGGCAGTTTTCCCTGTGCCGGGTACGCCAGATATGTACATGCACCTAGAGAGTGCACACAGGAAACATGGTCTTATTTTAGGACTTATTAGCACTTTGAAGAGCTCAGTGCTTGGCACATGCAACGTTAGCTACTTAGCTAATGAAAAAGCATCTCTATTGGCTACAAACAAAATGTTTGACGATGCAGACAAAGACCAATGGTTCCATGTGCTATAAAGTTAGGTTGGTTGGAAACTGGAGATTTTTACATTGCACTCCTTCCCACTATGGTTTTAGGCCTTTCACTCAATGGTGTCAAAATGAATGACACTTGGGGTGGAATGGGTGTACGGAACATAATTACTCAATACAACGTAACTGCTAAGCAAAGTGTTGGCTTTAATCCACAGTAAAATAAACAAGGGCTACAACGTCTGCCTAATGCTAAAGGTTCATTTTATCTGCATGACTCCTGGGTATAGACCAGTGCTTCTTAAAGTGTGGGTCGCGACCCCGTATGGGGTCCCGCAAGTGAACAGGGGGGTCGCGATCAGAGTACCCGGCCAGGACCGCCATCAGGGGGGTATGGCCGGTACTTGTGTGAGGGGCCTAGGTGGCCGAGGAGGTCTGGGCACCAAGCCAGATTGTTTTATTTCCGTTTACTGTATAATTTGCAGTGTAGTGTAGTTTCTAAGGTTGCGGCAGTGACTGGTGCTGGAGGGGGGGACTGTTGAGAAG